CAGTAGTCTTCAGCGCTAGGCAGTAGTAGTCTTCGGCGCTGGGCGCCCATAGCCATAGCTGTAGTCTTCAGCGCTGGGCGCTAGTAGGTGGTAGTAGTTGCAGTGGAGGGAGATGGCTGGCGGAGGCCAGCGGTACTTACCTGTGGCGCCATAGCTCCAGCTCCATCTTCGAGGTACCTGCATCAAGGCGCCAACTTCACAGGTTAGTACTGGACACAGAGAGAGAGAGAGAGAGACTTCTTCCTCTTCCTCCTCTATGTCCACCATCTCTTTTTCCCCTCTCACCACCTGACTTCTCAGTATCAGCGGACTACTACAGAGAGAGAGAGAGTTGTGACTTGAGACTTGACGGCATTGGATCCAGACTCGAATCCCCTTTGGGATTCAGACATTTCGACGAGGGACTATTTGGGCCTGTGCAGAACACTTGGTGTTGACGACATTCCCATCTTCCCCTCTTCTTCGTCTAACCCCCATCTCCTTCGTCTGTGTATGGTTGGGGCTGGCGCAGTCTTCCTGTGTGAAGCGCCAGACCCCTTCACACCATGGAATGATGATGATGATGTATGTTTGGGGCTGCATTGCAATATTGATTGTTTGGATCATTGGTATCTAAGTCTTCCGCTGTGCTATCTTATACTTTGTATTGAAAGGTCGGTTCTTGTTCTGGTCTGCACCTATACGGTATGCAACACTCCCCTCCACTCCCATTGTACTACTAACAAATACATACGAATGAGCATCATTAAGAGAATAGACGATATGAAGATCAGAAATGAAATAAACGGAAGTATGAAGATGAAGGACGGACACAAAGACTATAAGCTGAAGATCTGAAGTGAAATGAACAGGAGTATGAAGCTCTGAAGAGATGCACAGGAGCATACCTTCCTTTTTACTCTGCCCCCAGAAATAACGTGCAAGTGGGCCGTGAAGGCACACGGGGATGTGGGCAGCTGCCGCTCAACCACAGTCAACGTGGACAGCCCCTTGTGCGTGCAAGGCATAGTAAAAGAGGAGCTGCAAGAACAATGAAAGGGGTACCCCAAGGAAAACCAAAAAACTGTCTAATTATAAAATTGCTTTAATGTGTTGGACATCTCAAATGCTCATGTTTTCTGCAATAGGACAAAGACTGCTTTGATTCTGAATCTATTCACCTGGGTGGAATTGAGGCTGTTGTGGGGAAAATCTAAAACACACACACACACAGTCACATTGTTGGAATGGCTCATCTCATGTGTGCTTCATTGTGGTAGAGCTGCATCGATGTTGGATGTACTCATCTAGGTGGAACAGGGGCTGTGGTGGTGAAATCCACAACACAGTCACTTACGCACACACACACACACACACACACACACACACACACACACACACACACACACACACACACACACACACACACACACTCACTTCCGTCTTAGGGAAGTTGCCTTCTGCCCTCCATCCCCTTATGGTTTGAAATGTATATGAATACATATGTATATGTGCAAGTGTGCCGCTTTGGCGGCAGACGGGCGCTGAACCACACAAACGTGGCCAACCTTGCATTTTCTATCACATTGCCTATCTAAACTTTTTCGTTATGGATGGCTTGTGATGATTTGTGAAGGGAATGAGAGCGAGAATCAAGGGTATTTTAAACACACACACACACACACACACACACACACACACACACACACACACACACACACACACACACACACACACACACACACACACAC